GCCTGTCCTCCCCGTCTGTCCTCCCCGCGCCTGTCCTCCCCGCGGCCTGTCCTCCCCGCGCCTGTCCTCCCCTCGGCCTGTCCTCCCCGTCTGTCCTCCCCGCGCCACTCCCTGTCTCCGCTAATCACCTTCAGGACAGCCCCGGCTGCTCCCCGACCACAGCCCTCGGCCCCTTGGCTCCCCAGCTCCCCTCTCAGCCAGGCGCAGGGCCAAGTGCTGAGACGCAGGCAGGTTACCCGTCCTGCTCTCCTGTCACCGACTGTCCCACGGGGAAGTTTGGAGAGAACGCAGGCAGCCCCCAGTGTGTAGTGGGAATAAGCACTGTTTCAGGCCCCGAAGGCAGACTTGGGAAACCTCCCCGTGGGGTGGTTATCGGGGGTTGACAGGAGGGGCCTGGTGGCCGCTGGCCTTTCATCTCCTGTCCCTCGCGCCTGGACGGAAGGGCCGCAGTGACCCCTGCTGGCCAGCAGAGGTGGTTGCTGGGCACCTGGGCTCCTTGGCCTGGACTCCGGCCTTCCTGGCTGCAGCCCACCCTCTGGGCCCAGGGAGGGAGGGCTGAGGGGTGATTTTCTCTCCCCTCTTCCCGGCCCCTCCGGGCCCCCGGCTTTGAGGTAGGCTGTGGGGCAGACACCAGGCGTGCAGGACGGGACAGAGAGAGGAAGACGGAATCGCTGCCCAGTGTGGGGTTCTGTGTGGAAGCCTGTGAGCTCCCAGCACACACGGCTAAGCTGGTCCCGAGTCCATGCTCAGCCCGTGCGGACGTGGGCAGTTGGTGGGGACGCGCTTCAGCTGTGTGGAGATGGCACCTGCGTGTGGAGGGGCATCGCCATAGCCGAGTGTGTTCTCCCCCGGACAAGGGGGTGGGTGATGCTTCGGGGGCTGGAGGTGGCCGCTCCTGTGTGTGGGGCACACCTGTCCCCTCACTGGGCCATTGGCACCCAGCGTCTGCTTGGGGGGCACGGCCGCTGGTCCTGACCCTCCCTCCCAGCTGCCGGTGGGAAGAACTTAACGGGCCCTCCTGGGAAGTCAGGCGTGGGGACTTGGTTCCTGGGACTCCAGCCCTGTGTCCACGCCTGTGCCATGGGCCAGGCCCTGTGGTCACCAGCGTGGAGCTGACGGCCGGCCCAGGGGACAGGCAGGCACAGCTCAGTAACTCAGTGGTTTTAATGAATAGCCACCT